CCCTAGGCCCTTGTTTTCCCATTCCTTCATCTCTCTTGGCCATTTGGAGGCCTTTTCTGAGCCACGGCAGGGGGATTAGCCTCTCGGTCAAGTGGCAGAGCCCTCCACTGAACTCAGCTGGAAGCCTTTTGGGACCCCGTTTCCTACCCCCTCCATGCCAACCAATCAATGACTCATCTGTCAGTAACCAGGTCACCAGGCAGACAAATTCCTTGGTCTTTTGATTAAGATGAATATTTTCTCATAACTGAGTGTCAGGAGCTGAATTTCCTCTTATTCCATTTCAAAGAGCAGACAGTGTCTTTGCAGAAGTGTGTGTTATTTCCAGTTCACAGCCAACAAACTATAGCCAAGAGAAGGTGCATGGACAAAGCATGGACAGTTGAATCCAGACTAGAAACTACTGCCCAGAATCCTCCTTGCCAGTAGCCCTGGGCTCCACCCCTCTGCGTATGCCTCTCTGGAGAAGATGTGGTCTCCTCAATTTACTGAGGCCCTCTAACTGGATAGCCACCCTAGCCCAGGAACTGGATCAGGCTCATCTGCCTCCTCTGCCCGGTCCCTGTTTCATTTCCAAACACTGATGCAAAGGTCTACTGGACCACCTGGCAATTGTGAGCTTGAGATAACCTCACCTTCCTCCATCATCTCAATTTCTCCAATCCTCATTCTTAATCTGAAGAGCTGGTGCCACCCTGACCCTGGAAAGCACACCAAGAATATCTGCCTGTTTCATTCTCAACACTGAGGGAATGCTCTGCTCTGCACATGTGACAAAATCTCCTAAAGCAAGTCCATATGCATCCAATTTCACCTCTAGCACCTGTGCAGTTTTCCACTGCAGCAAGCCAATCAGGTAATCAGGAGCCTTTTGAGCTCCTCCCACCACACAACTAATTGGCTGCTTTCCCCTGCCTTCTCCCTTACCCCTCCCGACAGTGTACAGCTGATGAAGGACAGATCTCTTGACTCCCCAACCCAATGCCTCCTTTGGTAGCCCAGATCACAGCAGCTGGCCTACTACCAAAGCAAACAAGGCAAACCTAGATAGCTCCTGCTGAGCATGAGCATCTAGAGAGGAAGAGAGGTGCACTTGAAGTGACTGGAACTTGCAAGTGGATTTTGGGTCTTGCAATAGGCCAGCCTGTGAAGGTTTATTTTAAAATACATTGGGTAGACATTAAAGTGCCAGATGACTATTTGCTCCCCTTGGACAAGGTCGCAAATCTGTGTCCTTCCAGATGTTGTAAGACCACTCCCAGAATCACAGAATACTCAAGTTGGAAAAGGCCCATTAGGCCATCAGGCACAACACCCTACTCGATGAAGGACTCCAGGTTAAAGGATCCCTAGCAGATGGCCGTCCAGCCACATTTCGAGTCCCTCCAGTGTGGGACAGCCCATCAGCTCCCTCAGGTAGTTGATTCCCTTGTTGTGTTTCTGTAACAGTCAAGAAGTATTTTCTGATGTTCAGCATGAATCTGGCTTCCTGTAACTTAGAGACCCTGCTACTCCATGTCCTGCACTGTGGGAGTGGGAGGATTGAGAAAAGTCCCTGCTCTCAGTCTTGTGATGCTTTATAAGTACCTGAGGAGCACTACCACATCTCCCCTCGGTCTTCTCTTTTCAAAGTTAAACATGCTCAATTCATCCAGTGTGTCCTCGCAGGGCTTTGCTTTTTGTCTCTTACTAATCTTTGTCGCTCTTCTCTAAAGCTTTCCCCACTCTGTCCGCATGATTCTTAAACTGTGGAGCCCAGAACTGGATGAAGGGCTCAAGATGAGGCTTATCGAGTGCTGAGTACAGGGGAACCAGTGCTCTAACAGGAAGCTCTATTAATGCAGCCCAGAAGAGAATTAGCCTATTTTTACAGCCACATCACACGGCAGATTCATAGTCACCTTGTGGTCTATAACAATTCTAAGATGCTTCTTGCTTGTATATTGCTGAGTCAAGTATACCCCATTTCATAGCTATGCATTTGGTTTCTTTTTCCCAGGTGCAGAACTTGGAATTTTTATTTATTTATTTATTTATTTATTCGTTTATCTAAAAATTTTCTAGACCATCCCTTACCGTAGTTTTGTGATGGTTTGTTTATTTAAAACTTTCTATACCATTCCATATTTAGACATCTCAGTAAGGTTTACAAGAAATTAATCCTAAAAATAGAAATAAACATAACAGTTGCCCAGCATCCAATGTTAAAATATAAACCCACTAACTAAAACAAGTTAATAATTAAAATACAGGGAAAATAAAAAAGTTTTTTCCCTGACACCGAAAGGAAAGAAGCGTTGGCACCAGGCGGACCTCTCTGGGGAGAGTGCTCCACAATTGGGGTGCCACTGCAGAGAAGGCCCTCCTCTGGGTAGTCACTCTCTTGATCTCTTTCAAGGGCTGCTGGAGGAGGGCCTCTTCCTCAGATCTCAAGGGGCGGCAGTGCACATGGTTTATCAATGAGACAACATAAAATAAATAAAACACAGCATCCTAATAAAATTTCCAAACAGCAGTAAAACCCCTATTAAAACAATCATATCTTAAAACACTGGGAAAATAAAAAGGTTTTAGCCTGGTGCTGAAAAGAATAAAGTGACAGCACCAGGTGAGCCTCTCTGGGGAGCAAATTCCACAACTGGGGCATCACCGCAGAGAAGGCCCTTCTCCAGGTAGTCATCCTCCTAATCTCCTGCAGGCAGGGCTACTGGAGAAGGGCCCCTGCCCCAGATCTTAAAGGGCAGGCAAGCACATATGGAAGAAGATGCTCCTTCAGGTAACCAGGCCTTCAGCCGTTAGGCATATGTCCGTATTCTAAGTTTTACCCTGTGAATTTCAACCTAGCACTCCAACCTGTTAAGATCACTTTGAATCAAATTCTGCATCCAGATCATGAATAAAAACACTGAGCAGCCCTGGGCCCAGAACTGAGACCCACTGGTTACCTCCTCATGGTTTGAGAAAGTGCCATTGACAAGCACTCTTTCAGTCAACTGTGGATCCACCTGGCAGCTGTCCCATCGGGTGCACTTTTAGCTAGTTTGTGGTGCAGGATACCATGAGGCACTTTGTCCCATCAGCCCTAGTCAGCTTGAACAAAAGTCAGGGATGGGTGGAATTGTGCTCTCACCCTCTGAATGCATTACTCATCATTGGTTTTATTGTATGACATTATCCAGTTTTTTGCCATTTATGCATTTTGTTCCTTTTATTGCTTGTATTTTTACATTGGTCAAAGCGTTAGCTGAGTAGAAGGATGATCTACAAGTGCTATAAATAAAATAAACATCTGGGAAGCTGCAAGTTCTTCACCCTGCTCTAGAGGTTTCTATTGTTTTAGCCGAATCAGACACACAAGTTAGCTAAGCAATATCTTCATACAGTCTAGCTGGCATGTACATTACATGGTCTCTGTGTGTTTACTGGAGTTGGTTCCTGCAAATTCCTCCTTGGACTTGTCTCTTCTAGTCGCTAGTAACATACATTTGCAACAAAAACATTTGAAAATTCAGTGGTACCGTTACTTCATTAACCAGTTGAGAATGAGAAGAGAAAGTGAACATATCAATGGGGATTTTCCAAAACTTAAAAAGATTAGTGAGTTTCATTTACTGTGTAAATCACTTCCACCCCCAGTCTGTAAGTGATAAACATTAGAAAATGAGCTTGCAGTCCTGTGACAGCCTTATGCAAGTACAGATTTGTATTTCTAGATGTATTTATCAGAGTAAGACGTGGCAATTTCATGATAAAGAAGGATCAGGTTATTCATAATAAAACAGACCATGTCATGAAGGAATTCTGTGAGGCCTTCATCCTATAGGGCAGGTTTATTTTATGTGCTGTGGAAACTCATGCATTGTTGTGAGTTAAATATTATACTGGAAGTACCTGCACTGGTGTGCCATGCCTAACATTCTTTGAAGTCCTCTCTTAACACTGCCAACAGTGTGAGTGCTCTACCACAGCTTTTCCCAGACTGTTGCCTTCTAGATGGTTTGGCTGCAAACCCCCACCTGACTCAGCTAGCTTTTCCCACAATCAGAAATGTTGGGAGTTGTAGCCCAAAACATCTGGAGGGTACTGCGTTGGGGATGATGCTTTTTCAGTCTGCTTTTGGTTAACAGCCCCTTGGGTTGGCACCACTGGCCCAGCCTGCTGCAGGATTGAAGCTTCTCTGCTTTGGAAATAGAAACTTGTTTGCATCACTGTACATTAGTTTGATCCCAGTGTCGTTAATGAACATTTCTAGAGGGTTTTCTACATGAGGCCTTTAATGCACCCCTTTACCAAGGGTTTTGCTTCTGTATTTTTTGTGGAATTGAGATCAGTTCCTTCACATGTGCTCATATATATATCATCATATATATATTCATTCCATTGCACAAGCACTAGGCATTGTGAAATACATGAGAGCTTCATCCTGCCATTTAGGATATACCCGATTTTCCTTCTCAGAGAAAACAATGTTAAAATGTTGCAGCACAGGGGAGTCCCCAAAAGGTGTTGATATTGTGTAAAGCCTCAACAAACAACAGGAATCACAAGCACACAATAAATGTCTTGTGTGGGAAGGCCTTAGATGTCCATAATCCTATGCTCTGATCTGCTCCCCTTCCCTGTGTTCTGGCAGAGATTGGTGATTGGCTTGATTGCTGTAGACCGTCAGCTCCGTGCATTGGAGGGCTGAGGAACTTGCTGCCCTTGTGTGGGTCCTTGGTGCAATTTATAGCCTTGCTTGATGGGGTTTCTAAAGCATACAGGGAGCCTGCTCAAGTTCAGCCCAGTACAGACATTCCGCCTTTCAATTTATGGAGGTCAACAGGGATAAATCAGAAGGGCATGGGCACTAAATGAGGCAGCCTGTTTAGGGGGAATGTGTGAGCCCAGCTCGTGTGTTGCCCCCTGAGGAAGAAACTGATCTCTGACAGTACAGAACACAGTACCAGATCATGGTACCAGTGAACTCCATAAAATAGAGAAATATAAATATGTGCTGCTTTTGGTTCTAGGGCGGATCCTGCAGAAACTTATAATAGAAAAAAATGCTTCTTCTAGTCTGATTAAAACTGGTATCTGTTTTAATTAATTTTAGTAATCCATAGATGATAAATCCAACAATGTTTTAATGTGGGAGTTCATCGCTGGGTCATGCAGAGTTCTTCGCTGGGTCACGCTGTAGTCACGTACGCCACGACAGCACTATAGTATTGTAATTTACCTGTGTAACCATATAAGGCTTGTAACCATATAAGGCTTGTAACCATATAAGGCTTGTAACCATATAAAGCTATTTGTAAGCTTTGTGTATTCTGCGTCTGCGCGGCCAGTAGGTGATTGGCCAGCTACTTGACATCTGAGTGGCTGTATGCAACTGTTTTGGTAAACCAAGGTAGTGAATAAAAGGAGGTGCCGGAGGTGAGGGGGAGAATTCTTTTCTTCCCCTGCAAACACAACCGAGCATGCTTTGTACCTAATCTCCGGACTGCAGTTTTCTTTATCAGGGATCTCTCCTGAAACTTTCTCGCGCCGTTGCCGAAGCAGGACTTCGGCATTTTAATAATAACACTCGGGCAGAAGCACTTTACAGAAATTATTTCAACAACCTTGTAAATATTATGAGTCCCAAGTTACATATGAATGGACAGGTGCCAAGGCTGAGACGTTTTAGTCCTAATGCCAATGAGTTTCTGGCTGAAATGTGCCTTGTATCAGTGACCATGCAACGTCCATCCCCTGTCACAATGTAGGACAATTTCTAGGACACAATTTCTAGCACATAGCCAATTTCTACCACACAGTATCATTAAACCAACTATGTCACCACAGCTGAACACCTGATTTCTTAAGGCCACTACCATCCAAACTCCAACATTATGCTCCGATGTTTTTTTTCCTCTTTTTTAAAATCATGGGTTGAGGAGACATCTATACAAACAATAGCCTTATGAAGAGTGGAAAAAGAAGCTTAGAGTGGCAAATCTTTCCCAGCTCAGATTTTTAAAGAACTCATAAAAACCTGCCAGAACTCTTTGCATATCCTAATATTTCTTATGTAAAAAGTTCTGTGGACTAACGGCACTTCCTTTATATCCCTTTCCTCAAATAAGCAGTTTCCTGTATCCCAGAATGCATCTGAGGTGGCATAAGAGCTGCTTTCCAGTTGTACCGCCAGTGGTTTAAAATCTTGATGTAGCAGCTGCAATTCACCCTTCACTCATTTCCTTAACTTATTAAGCCTTTTCTAGAATGTGACCAACCTATACCATTTCTCTGAAAAGCTTGTTATAGCTCAAGGCATGGTTTGAGGCTAGTGAATTCCTCAGACAGTGCCAGAAATAACTCTGAGACTGAGGATTGGTTGGCCAATTGAGGACAGAGCTACTACACAGTCTCTTTCGGAGGCGGAGATACTTTGACATTTGCAAAACCTTCTCAAGGAATATCAGGATGATTACATCAACCTTTTCATCCAACAGGCGCTGGTGAGCCAAATAAAAGGCTATCTTGAAGTTGCCATTCACAATGTACTTGTTTGTTAGCACAAATACAGTTTTTCTGCTCACCTGTATACTATCAGAAAGGTTAGTCAGAACTGGTTTTCCTGGTAGCCAGTCCCTTTCTTCCAGGCATAAATTGAATTGTTTCTCTTTCTGATCTTCCAGTTTTTCAACTAATTCTTTCAGGACCCATTCTGTCACATCTGGGTCTTTCTTATCATAAGCCACAAATGCGTCATACATAACTTCAGATGAAAATAGACGCTGATACCCTTTTAAACTGGCACTGCAGAAATGGTAGAAATACCACACATCCCAGAAGTAACGGTAGCTTATAACTGGGACTGTCATCAGAAATGTGATGACTGAAATGGACAATAAGAACAGGAACTGGGAAATGTCCAGCTCACATGTTTTCAGATCTAAGAAAACCACACTTTTACCTTTCCATGAACCTGGCCCCTCACAAGTCACATCTGTTGCCAGAAAAGGTACAGTCACATTTGTTTGGTTGATCCACCAGACAAACCACACAAGATCACAGTTACATCTGAACGGATTACCACGTAGGTGTAACGTTTCTAGATTCTTGATATCATTCACGGGGAAGCTAGAATTCTTGAGTGTTTTTATCTTATTAAAACTGAGATCTAAGTGTTTCAGATGGAAAGCTTGTTGAAGAAAATTATTTGTCAGCTTTTTGATCCTGTTGTTTTGTAGTATGAATTGTTGAAGGGTTGGAGAACAGTTGGACAGCTCATGGGGTACAGTAATCAACTGGTTGTTGCTAAGATCCAAGACCAATAGGTTCTTCAGAATCTGCAGTTTGCTCCAATTAAAATATTTAATATTGTTATCGGCTAGCTTGAACACCTTGAGTGTTTGTGGGAGACCATCAAACACATCATTGGGTATAAAATTCAGAGAGTTGTCAGAAATGTCAAGATTCTCCAGGCTGCTCAGATTCTTGAAGAATGCAAAATGTTTATCAGTCCCAGCTTTCCATAAAATATCTAAGCGGTTCTTTCTAAATTCCAATATTTTGAGTGAATGGCTTTCCATCCCTTCATCAGTGGATGTAGAAATCTCATTCCCATTCATAAACAATGTTGTCAAGCTGACCAAATTTCTGGTAAAGCCTAACATGTGAGTGATGCCTTCTGCCTTAAAATAATAGCTGTTATCACTAAGGTTTAGAACTTCCAGTTCTTTCAGCTCTTTAAAGGCATTTGCATGTAGCAAATCAATTCGGTTGTTAGAAAAATCCAAGTATTTCAAGTTAGACAGATACTGGAATTCAGTCCCATTTAAAGTTTGGCTCATAGCATTACCAGACAAATTGAGGCACTTAAGTTGAGTGAGATGTTGGAAATCAGAGGAGGCAACAAAAAATATATTGTTTCTGCTTAAATCCAGTGTTTCCCCGTAATTGCTACAAGAAGGCTCAATGGAAAATGGCAATGAATAAACAGACTCTTTGTCTTTAGATTTGCAACTTCGGCCATATTCATCATATCTGAAATAGTGCATATCTTGCAGCATTCTGCCATCATACCTTTCTGCTATAACCTTGGGAGCAGAGAAAAACTGATGATTGGGTTCATTTGAAAAGAGAGAGATTTTATTGAATGAAAGGTGTATAATTTTAAGAGCATGGAATTTTTTAAACATAGCAATGTCAGCATTCCTTATAAAATTGGTTCCAAAGTCCAACACGCTAAGATTTTTAAGAGGAATCAAGTTGTCTACAGTTCGTTGATCAAGTTCCTTGAAAATAAAACCCCTAATCCTTAAGTATTTCAGATTAGACAGTTTAGAAAATGTACTTGGTAAACGCAAAGTTGAACGGTATGATTGCAGTGCAAAATTGAAAGACAAGTCCAGGTCCACAAGGTTAGGAAGAAATGTTAGAAAATGGGCAGACTCTATTTCATTATCTAAGTAATTTTGTGAAAGATCAAGCACTTCAAGCTTCTCAGTATTTTTAAACCAGTTACTGTCCACTGAACGAAGAGAGGTGCTGTGGAGGCGCAGAATTTTTAATTGCTTTAAGGAGTCAAAGGCTCTGGGATGGATGAAAATGCTTCCCCTGTTGGGGCATTCCTCACAATGATACGGGGCATTGTGACAGCGTGGGCAGTTGCCACTTAAGTCAAGAGTTTCCAAGTTATGAAGACCGATTAGATCATGTTCCGTGACGTTACGGATGACGTTATTATAAAGGTACAGTTCCGTTAAAGTGGATGGCAGATTCTGTGGGACAGACGTTAAGTTATTTGCTTTCAGTGACAGCACTTGCAGTGTCCTAAGGGCCTGAAAGGCTGTTTTGTTAATGTCGTATGAAACGTTGCAAGGATTGCGGTAATAGCAGTTCTGTCCTAGGAAGAGACTTTGTAGGTGCTCAAGTTCTGACAAATTTTCTTTTTTGATGGAAAAAATGGTATTTGCTTCAAGACTCAGAAGACGTAAATTCCGAGGCAGGCCTTGAGGGATTTCTGTGAGCTGATTTCCATCCAGGTAGAGTGATTCCAGTCTGGAGAGTTTGGCGAAACTTTGGTTTTGAATTTTCAGACTCTCTTTACACACACGATCTCTAGGTCCCACCATAAAAGGCACACAGTTGCACCTGAAATCAATCTCCAGAAGTTTGTCAAACTTCTCAAAATAACTTGGGATGATCTTTGGGATGTGATTAATGGAAATTGTCAGATTGGTAACATTGTCAGGAATTTCATTTGGGAATTTTACGAGGCCCCGATCACTGCAATCCACAGTCAGGAAAGTTTTCGTATCATACACATGACATGGTAGGGTCTTAAAGAACTGCATGGCTGGCATAATCTCTGGAAATAGTGAGAGCATGAGGAAAAGCAGTCCACCTGTTGTGCTCCAAGGATGAATTGCCTAGAGGAAAGAACAAATGCAAAGCCAAAAGAAATTAAAGTTAAGATCTCAATATTGCATATCCTTAGGTAATTCTTAAAGGAAATCAACCCTGACTGCTCTTTAGAAGGCCAGATACTGAAGATGAAACTCAAATACTTTGGCCACATAATGAGAAGGAACAACTCACTGGAGAAGGTCCTGATACCGGGAATGTTTGATGGCAAAAGGAGAAGGGGACAGCAGAGGATGAGGTGGCTAGATGGAGTCACTGGCGCGGTGAGTCCTTCTTGGCTTGGGTGGACTCTGAGGGATTGTGGAGGACAGGAGAGCCTTGGGGAAAGTTGTCCATGGGGTTGTGATGGGTCAGGCATGACTTTGCGACTAAACAAAAATGGTAATTGTAGATTGAGTTCTCCTGCTGTTTGTGAAGTGCTTGGGACTGTGGATAAAGCAGGAGTGCATAACCATTTTGGCCCAGGCCACAGCATCTGGGATAAGTGGGAAGGTGGGAGGTTTCCCAGGCATGCACATCTTTCCCTCCACCCACATAATTCTTATGTGAATTATGAATTTTCCCACAGAGCATACAAAGTTCAGCTCAATTATATGCATGCCTCCCCAGACCTCCATCTCAGTGAAACATGCAGAGAACAGTTTGATTGGATGCCTACCTCCTGTAGACTACACAACATGGACAGAGAGGTAATCAGTTGGAGTGATAGAGCACAGCAAAGCAAGCCAAGAAGGACATGCGGTTTCATTCCTCTCCCCATCACCCTCCTTTTAGTGTCAAGTGCAGGATCACCCCCACATTGTCTGTGCATGGAGCATACCCACACAGACCACACACTATATGTCTAGTCTGACTGCTCTGTAATACCGCAAACATCACAGAGAGGAGAGCATGGCTGCAGGAAAGAAGCAACTTCACTCAAGCTGTCCTTTTTCCAAAGTACAAATTACAGTGCTTGTCCATCTCCAGTAAAAGTCAACAGAATGATACAATTGACTAATCAAGGAGCTTTTACGCCTGTGCAAGAAAGGAAGTGTATCAAATGGTGGTGTATTACCTATGTAGACATGTGAAATAAATGTTCCCTCTTTTTGAGGATATATGGATAAACATTCCTTCTTTTTTCTAAAAGTAAAATAAAAACTTCAAAACGTCAGCAGAGAGTTTGCTGGACCTTGTGGGCATCATCCAGTCAGTACTCATGACAGTTACAATGAAACATACCTTTTATATGTTAGAAGTTGTTTAGTTTTTGAGGTATGGCTTGAAGGAAATGTAAATGTAAGCATATGAAGAATTTCATACAGCCATAAATAGAAGTAGGCTGTCCAGTCTACTTTTATTTTTTTTTTACTAGCAGTCTACTGCTAATGCATTAGATTTTTAAAACAAAGCAGAATATTCAGGATCCCATAACAATTAGGATATAATTCATTGATTATGATTAGATGAAAATCTAAACCGTAGCTTGGCGTTATGTATACAAGACTCATACTTTCCCACACCCCTTTACTCATTGGGCAGATCAGAAGAATTTGGTTATGTTTCAAATAACCTAGATTTGCAGTTATTAACTCTGATTTGTTAAAACAAGCCAGAATAGTTAACTATGGACTGAAGTTGGCTTGGTGTGGTCAATCTATTATTAAAACTATTCACAGTTTGTACCAGTTTAGACATAACAATGACAGTAAAGACAGAAGCAAATGGTTCTGATGGTACAGCCCTATTTTCAATGAGTTGCAATTTCCGGACCATTTTCAAAGGCAGCCCCACATAGATTGCATTACAGTAGTCCAAACAAGAAGTTACTAGAGCATAGATTACTGTGGCTAGGTTTTGTCTGTCTAGATAGCGCCTAAGTTGATAAAACATGCTCCATGCCACCAAGCTGTAGTGGAAATTAGGAAGTGCTAGCGCTCCTGGTAATCTAGAAAGTCCTGAGATTATTTCTAAGCAAGAGGCTAGACTAAAACTTCCAAAGACTAGGATAGCCTGCCCAATCCAGTGTCCTGCATATGTATTGGACATCAACTCCCATCAGTCTCAGCCAAGAGATCTAATAACAAGGAATGCTTCCCCCCCCTTTTTTTTTGAGAAGGGCCTAGGCAAGAACTAGCATCTGTGTTAAGATTGCTGCCTGTTCAGTATGCAGTAACACTGCTTAAGTTGGCCTTAACATTAATTTTTAATGGATTTACATTTGCTTAAAGACCATCATTTAGTTGGAGAATACTTTTTATTTTATAAAGTAGGCAAAGATGCACAGTTAACATAAAAATGAGATCCTACCGTAAGTTTGATTTGCAAAGATTCCAAAGCAATACCCCTTGCCAACTGGTTTAAAGTGAAGCATAATGAGTTGCATAAACAAATACAATGCGAATGTTCAGTTAAACAGTTAATTATGTTGCAAGGCAGAGGCAAACATGCACACTCCTAGCCCCTTCATAGCATAGGAATGTGGAAGGTGGTGGAGCTATTTTACTCAGATTTAGACAAATGTGAAAAGGACTACTGTAGAATGTTGAATGAGGATAGAACCCCTTTCCTCACTTGCGGGAATCATTAGCCATGTTCTAATGTCACTTGAAGTGAGGATTCATGGTTTATCTAATCTTAATGTGTGTGAAGTTCATGATGCTTCACCCAGCTTGTTTGTGCCTGCTTTGCTTGCCCCACAGGCAAATGAACTAGGGTGAATAGGTTAGTGTTATGTCTGAGTATGCAGTCATAAGTTCCTGCACCCAAAGAAGCCAGTAATAATAAGCCAATAGTAAATCCTGGTTTAAAAGTGGCTTAAAATGAACCAGCTTTATCTAATAAACTATAACCTTATAAATACATGTAAAGCTAAGCTGCGAGGTCTGGCTTGTTTACTTGTTTCCATGCATAGACGAAACAAAGCAGGAGTGAATGGGCATGCACCCTGTGGTTTAACAAACTAGACATTGTAATATAAAGTGATGTGGAAGTGCGAACACTGAATTGATCAGCAATAATTTTATCATATACCAACATTTCAAGGCTTCTAAAACGTCCCTCATGCTCCATGGGTATTTCTGCTGCACAGGCTCATATGATTATTGATTAGATTGCTCACACAAAATGGTTAACCCCCATGGAAGAGGATATTAGCCTTAATTCTGTAATTGAGAAAAAATATATTTTTCTTAATGTACCACTGCTGTAAGTACATTTGTATTATTATTCATTTATTAGTACCTTAAATCCAAATTATATTTTGGGGAAAAAAGCCAGATGACTTTCATTTAATGCTTTCAAAGCTGTCTTTCACTTAAAGCTTTAGGAATCAAAATCAGTTCCTTGTGCTTCAATTGTGTTTATGTTCTGTTTAAACAAAAAATAAAAAAAGGGTGTGAGGGGGGAGAAGGAATCAAAATCAGTTCCATCACGTAACTCTGCTAAAAGCTAATCGTAGCAAGGAATAATATACTTTAAATATGTCTCTATGTTTAATCTTATGAATATTATGATTCTGAAAACTTCTGAGGGTTTGAAAAAATGATTCTGCATTAGTATGAGTGAAATGAATTCAGTTTAGATGGGACTGTAAAGGACAGATCTATCTGGGTGGCAGGAAGAGGGGAACAAAGAAGAGTCCTGGACATAATCTAGAAAGCAGGGAAGGGGGACCTGTGGCAGTCCACCATCCCCAGCCATTGGTTATGTTGGCTGTGGCTGGTGGGAGCTGAGTCCAGAAGATCTGGAGTCCCAGCAGTTTCCAACCCCTTCTAGAAGGCTTTTGCGATATCAGCTCTGTCATAGGAAGGAATGCTTTGGACTGAGAGAGAAGGGCCGCAGAGCCATGAGGCAGAGTTTATTATTTATTTATTAAAACATTTCTATGCCGCCTCTTGCCGAAGCCTCGGGGCGGCTCACAACACAAAATAAAATACAATAAAATACAAAAATAACAATATAAAATTAACAATATAAAATAAATAACAATATAAAAGAAGTCGCCCTGGCCAGATAAATAAGCAAATATTGTTAACAATTAAAATGACACTTAAATAAAAAGGTCTTCGCCTGGCGCCGAAAAACAAATAACGACGGCGCCAGGCGGACCTCTCCGGGGAGCGCATTCCATA